CATCCAATGGCTCTTCCTCCAATCGAAGACCCTCCCCCGCCCTGTACCCCTCCCCCATCCTGAGACCCTCCCCCATCCTGAGCCCCTCCCTGTCCCACCTGAGCCTGTCCCCTCCCTGTCCAGGCAGCTGGTGTTGCTGCCTACCCCCAGGCTCTGGGTCTCATTAAAGAGCTTGACAAGCTGGCCTGCCGTTGCTGTTTCTGATTGTGGTTGTCACTGTGGAGAGGGGCTGGGGCATGATCCAGAGCCAACTCCTCCCACACAAGGGGATTTGGTCACCAGAGCAGCATGGATGCCGCCCAGCCTAGCTGGGTCAAGAGCAGAAGCCTGGCAGCCCCGTGCCAGAGATCTTGAGACATGCTTTCCCGCTCCAGCCCAGGATATCTGTGTCCCTGTGATTGGGGTGTGACAACTGGGGACTTGCTTTCGTCTCCTGACACTATGTCTGTGGCATCCTTCTTGCTGTCAAATGAGTTTCCCTCCCCCAGCAGTGATGCCCCTTGGCGCTGCACCCTCCCTTTGGGCCATGCTGGCATATGAGGTTTGGCACCGTGACGTGTCAGTTGGCCTGTCTGTGACAACTATTCAGAGCCCCTCTCCTGAGTGAAGCCATTCCATCTGCAGGGGGGAGGCCAGTGTCCAATCCCCATGCTGGCTGCGGCTGGAGTCCCTGAGTGTGGCTTCCAGGTCCCACCCACTCCAAGAATGCTGACACACGCCTTCACAGGGTCCCCGCCAAGTGCCTGGCCGTGTCTATGGTATGTCACTTGGGCCAACACTGACACATAGTTCTGACCCGTGTCTCCTGGCCAGGAGGCCGCATCCTGATAGGTGATCAGGAAGCACCTTCTGTGCCTCAGTTTCCCCACATCTAAGAGGGGAACCCTGACCGAGAGTGTCTCAGTGAAACCCTCCAGCCCTGTCCTGTGATTGGAACTTGGGTGGCCTGGAAAGTCCCCGTGCTGTCCAGGCCCTAATCAGTTGGGTCATCAGGCCCCAGCCAGACGGAGGACGGTTAGGAAGGGGCTGTCCAGGCTGGGCAGGGCAACGGTGCCCATCTGATCTGT